GATTGTCCTTCTCTTTGAATTCTCATAAACTCTTCTCCCTTGAGTTGCAACAGATTCTTTAAGTCTTGCACTGGATGTTGACTCTCACTGGGAGTCTTTGGAATACCAAGGAGACGGCGAACGACAGGGAATTTAAATGTTATATTCTGAGCCAGCCCAAAGAAAGCAGAAACTGCCCAGTAAAGCCACATTGCCTGCCAAAAAAGAATGTACCGTGAAATTTGAACCACTAGCACAGAGACATGGTTTCCTAGCCAAATGTGGCAAGAAAGGAATTCCTCTATTGAATGGGGGACTGGGTTTGGGTTAGGATATCAAATATCACACTTAGTCATATGACTCAGTTGTTTTACATAAACTATTTGTTCTTTGCTGATCACTTCGGTCATGTGCAAGAGAATAAGCTGGGAAAGAAGGAGAGTCCCTATTTATCATAGACAGAGGTTTTGTTTTCTTGGGACTACAAAACACTGTGTAAGGAAACTTACCGATGGAACTTGAGCTGCAACAAAGATCATACCCACCGATACCAGTCTTAATGTGTTTGTTAACATCCGCTGAAATCTGGTTGCATTGTGTCGTCGCAGGGCATGAAGCTGGTGATCAGAGAGTAAAAATTCAACAGAAGGGTTATATACAGTCACACTTGTCTAGTTGTTATCAACTCAGAGAACATCTATCCTATTAACCAAGCGCAAGGGCCGTACTGGGAGAATATCGGCCCGAGGTCTTCACAGTACGGACCGACCGAGTGCAGCAAGATCCATACAAAAAAGACCGAGGGCTGATATTCTTCCAGTACGGTCCTGAGCAAGCTTGGTTAATAAGAGATTTATTATACGACTGAAGTTGAAAGGGACACAAGTGTGGTATCATTTGGGACCATTCAGGACAGTGCCGAGTCCAATACTTAGAGAATATTGGATCTGCAATAAAGCATTTTGATTGGTTGATTTTAGTTATTGGCCCTCTGACCGCCCGAGTCATGTAATAAAGTGATGTACTGCCTTCTGTTAAAGAAAATAAACTACTAACAACAATAGATAACTTACACCTGACTTACAAAGGCTGTATGGGTGTACCAAAGCAATAACAATTTACATTAAAAGGGGTAAGTCTCTGAAGAAACTGTGGTGCAGTGCTGAGTATAACAAGGAAATTTTGGTTTTATCAGCTGAGTTCACAAATGTAAACTGGCCACTGTAAAGAGTTTAAAGTCAAAGTTTTGAGTGTTGGCCCTTGGCCAGAGCGAATGACCAAAATAACAATTTACAATATCTTATCATGAATCATAATTGTATCAATTGTTAGTCTGAATTTGCAAAAAAAAATGAGTGAAATTAAAATATGAAAAACAGAAATAAGTTGTTGAAAGCAAGGTGGCTCTGTTAACAATGTTTATACATGAATTCAAAAAAACAAAAATTATTCCATAATCAAATTCCATTAATTTGAACTAACACTATGAAAACTGTGTACCAAAATTTTAATGATTATCTAAAAGTGTATGAAAGCTAACATTCAGATAGCAACTATTCCATGGCTGTATTGTCAAATGTGTTTTTCATTTCTTGAGCTTTTGGAGGCAACTGAAATCATTTGCAATCATACACTGTAGAACAGAACTGTTGTTGCACAATGCACTCATCTCACTGCAAATTCTATAACTTTTTTGAAATGATATAGTATTTGAACATCTATCCATTAGACACCACTGACTTTCATGAAACTCAATTGTGCTGCAAAGCAGACCAAACAGAAAAAGTACTAGTATTGGGTAACCTACAAAATTCTAAAAATCTAGCCTACAAAAAAGTAACGGTATAGGATTGCTTATGTCCCTGATGCAACCCAGTTTCATCAAGGATTTTATTTTGCCATTTGCCACTAGCTTTCTAAACTAGTTGATTGTGCTTTAACATTTTCCCTTATGAAAACTGAGGTTTCAGAGTCTGTCAACAACATAAAAAATCACCTGATCAACAGGTGGCCAACTATCACCTGTTCTCTTGTCAGTTTTATTTTGGTACCAGCCAATTAAACATTCCATCTACACAAAAAATATATCAATGTAAACTTCACTTTCCTTCACATTCAAAGCTTATTTGCCTTAAATTTAAAGATAACTGAATGCAAAGACAGCTCTGATAATTTTAGAAACTTACTTTTGCTTCTTAGAAAGCATAAAATTTAAACTTTCCTCTCCGAAAAAACTACCACACCCAAACTCCACCCAAGATGTCAAGCCATTAGGCAGATATGTAAACAGTAAAACTTGGTTTAACCAAGAAATGAAGTAAACAATGGGCAGGGCAGGGCCCTGAATGCTATACCACCCCTATAAAAAGCCAGGGTGCTTATACAACAAGACACTTAGAATGTACGTTTGACTCTGTGGTGAGAAAGGCTGTGGACGGGGTAGCTTCAAAATACAGTTTAAAAAGATTCCTGATTTTGGGTAAGTCAAATGAGAATTTTTGTCAATTTGAATCAGTAATTTATGAGTTAAGATAATACCTGCCCTCTTTGATGTGAGGGCAAAACAGGCAACATACACAAACTGAGGTAAAGTCAAAGTGCTTCATAATTGGCTACCCATAGGATGAAAAACATGAAAAGAAAAAATATATGCGGTGAACTTTATCGCTGACATTCTTATCTGTAACTATAGGATAGCAATAAAATAACATATGATTATCAATTAATTTTGATCATGGAATTCCATTTGTCATATCAGAATCAAGGCAGTGTGATTAACACACTACCTCCAAAAAAACTCCAAAATCTATGGCTTTATTCAACAAGCTACTAACAGGTGAAGCACATACAACAGTGTACTAAAATGTGCAAGATTGTATTTATATCTACAATGCTTATAATACAATATGTAATTGTGTCGTCAACACATTCTGAATGGTGCTAAAACTGTTGAAACTTTTTTCATTTTATCAACAAGAATTGAATAAGAAACTTTCTGCACTTTCTAAACATTTGGGACTATGGTAAAGGTAATTTTAACATGAGGTATTAGCTTGAATTAAAATCCATTTGTGAATAACTTCCTTACATGCCATCTGATGATTCCTTTTAATCAGTAAGACTTACATTCAACATCAATGACTGTAAACTATGAGAAAAACTCTTGAGCCGCAAATGTGAGTATTTTTAATCAAGCACAATCATATATTATGTGAATCAAATTACTCACTTCAATATTAGCAAGATTAAAAATACCAACGGCACAAGGTATGATCAGGGTTGGGTCTGCTGCAGTGAGATCTGGAAACCACAGTACTCCTTCATAAGTGATCTCTGGACAAGGAAGAATAACCTCACCTGAAGTGAAACGAATAAACTGCGAAGTGGAGTAAAAAGACTATACAACTAGTACAATTTTATAACTTTTATTTACTAAAAGCATTGGGTGAATGGTAGTGGATATTTACTGAGCTGTAAAACAGGCTGGTAAATGTCTACTGCTTTCACTGGTCAGAAATTAAATGACTGTGCAACTTTGTCTCTTTGACTGCTTGGTACTACCTTATCACTTCCAAACTAGACAAACAGCTCATGCAAAATTCACTTTTCACATGCCTGTATGGCACATGTTATTAAGAAAAAAAATGAAGTAAATGAATGTGTATTATAAAGTTACAACTTTACGTCGCCAACCCTTGATGACTGATATACATGTCTAGAGTTGTGTCTTACAACAAGGGCACATTTAATTCTAAGTGCTTTGTTTAATGCAAATTAAAAGTAAGTTAGCTAATTGATGTGACTGTGTAATTATAGTGTGAAGTAACTCATGATTAGACCTGAATTTTAGTCTATTCTAATATTTATCAAATTAATCTATAGATTCTTGAATTTCTTGAACTGGTTATGGCTGCAGCTCCCAGCTTTCCAACTTACAAATGGTGGGAAACAGATGACAAGACCAAAAGGCTTTACACAGAGCTACTTGCAGAAAAGCTGTCAAGCCCACGCAAATCAGGTTCCACTAATCTTAGTAGAAAGCCCTCCAATGGGAAAGATACAAAGTCACAGTTAACATCATCTCCTAAACACGATATCCCCAAAGTAAATTTTAGCTGTGGTGAGAGAAATTCCAGAAAAAGTAAGGAAGAAAAAGGTGAAAGAGAAGACAAGAGTGGAAAGTACACTTTTGAGACCATCACCATAGACACACTTGCAAAGTATGAGTACATCAAAAGTCCAAGAAAGCGAGCTGCTAGCACTGTACCTGTGAGTTTCTTTGAGTCAACTGAGAAGCCAGACAGCAAAGAAGTCATAAAAGCTGCTACAAGTGGTTACAAGGATAACAAAGAAGTTATCGAAAAACTGTTGCCGACATCTAAAGAATCCAAGGAAGATAAACCTACTCAATTCTCAAATGGACAATTTCTTATTTCACAGAAGTTTGCATCCACAAAAAATGAATTGCAAGGACTGAAGAATGAAAGTGACGAGAAGGATGCCTCCAAAAATGGACCTCTAATGAAGAAGGATAAACCTTCACAGGCAAAACTAGTGGAAATCCCTGAATACACCTCCTCTGAATCTAGTGAGAGCTCAGCAGATGAAACAGTGCTTTTAGGAGCAAGTAATGCAAAGAAAACAGTGACACCTCTGAAGTCCAAAGAACCACAAGACAACAAGAAAACTGGTGAAGTAGACAAACCTTTGAAGATTGAGGAGCTCAGCACAAAGTTTCAGTTTTTAAGTGAGGAAGTTGCTCAACTAGAGTTTAAAATGTTTGAGTTCTCTGATGATATCAAGAAGTTGAAACAAGCAATGGGATTCAAAGATACCAAACCTGAAAATTATGAAAAGGAAAAAACCAGCACCAAACAGCCAACTGTTGTAAAGACAAATGAGTTTGGAATAACACGCTCAAAAAGTTTCACACATGCTGATAAGTTCAACAGCAAGGCCCTGTTAATGAAACAGAATGCTTCACCAAGCAAGATGCTGGCAGCCAAAACAGGAGGGCTTCTTTCAGAAAAATTACCATTGGAGGGTACAAGCAAAGAAGATGCCATGGCTGAGTTGAAGAAGAATGGAGCCTTGACTGAAATCATCAACAAAATAAAGGAGCAAGAATTCAGTGAAGATGAAATTCAGGAAATATTGAGATGTGCAAAAGACAAATATGTGAATAAGCCACAGTGGAAGAACTGAAGAAAAAGGCAAGAATAAGGCTACACTTACAAGAAAAAATTGGCAATGCCCTTTTTAATAATAATAATAATAATAATAATAATAATAATAATAACTTGTATTTATACAGCGCTCATATCTTGAACTCATGGCGCTTTACAACACAGTACAGGGGACTTTACCAGACTGCTAAGCAGTTTACAATCAAATGAAAGCGAAAATAAAAGATGCCCCCTCCCCCCACTGATTCCCAGTAACCAGGCCAGACCACATCACAGTAATCTCGTGAAGTGGGTTCTTTAACGTCCCCTGCCTAACCAAATTAACTAATTAATAGATGCAGGAGACGGGACCTCTATTTATTCGTCCCTATCCGAGAAGACTAGAATATCTAACCATTTCTTGATCAATGTTGTAGAAAGGTAGCATATTCTTCTCAATTATTTTAAGACCCTGAGTGTTGGTCCAGCTGGGGCTCGAACCCTCGACCTCCCGCACAACAGTCCGGGAGACTACGAGAAACAACAAAATTTTATCTGTGAGTAGGTAAAATATGCTTTCTCAAACATTTTCATCAATACGATGTTAGCTCTTATCTTAAAGAGATAAGAAAGGTGTAAAGTCAAAAGAGTAAATAATCTGGATGATGAACATATTAAACGTAGAGGACAAACAAAACAACCAACACATGTGGAGAGGCATCAGCTTCAACTCTTGTCAAAAGGAGAAAAAAGTAAATAATTTTACAAGCCACTTGTGAAGAGAGACATATAAAGAAGTAAATTATCTGTCAGGAGTAAAAAATATAGAAGAGAAATCAAGGAAGTAGATGAATACTGTCGTGAAAAATGCAACAAGAAAAAAAAGTACGTCATTACACAAAATTGGTGAGAAACAGGTAAGGACTGCAAAGAAATCAATCAAACTTATCCAGACTAATGGAAGATCACATGACAATGTAAAACTGGAACTTTGGTAGCAGGATTGGAATAAAAAGAGAGAAACTAGTAAAAGATTAAACTGAATGTGGGAGCATACAAAAAAAGTCATATAAAAAGTCTGCAGTGTAACAGTAATGGTTTAAAAAAATAGTTTTACCATTTTCAGAATGATTATTCATTTTTTGCAGTTTTCATAAGGATGGTCAAACAATTGCACATTTTAAAAGAATATAGGTCTTAGGTAACACATACAAGTCACAGCCTGAAAGGCCAAATACTCTAACTCTTACCTAATGAATGTTTTTCTTGTTTGTTTTTTTCATTACCCCCTCCAGTTAAAGAGTTTTTAGGTGTTATTTAGCAGCAATTATAGCCTAAGGGTAATTTCTATGAAGAAACTGATATATTCAATTTCAAAATAACCACTGCATGGTTTCTAGACAATTTTCAACTTAACACCCAGACAACTTCATCCCCGTTAGACTATTTATAATCAGTTGTCACAATTTACTTGTTTTGTAATATACAGTAATGTTGAAGCTAATTATTTTTACTTAAAAGATCACACAATGTTCTCAAACCTTATTTTCACATTAGTGTCATGTGATGTCTGCTAGCTAAATTACATCCTGCTGTATTGTATTTTTCATTAGTTTTCATATAATAAGTTTTATAAAGGAATATTTTTATCTTGTATTTTGTAGTTAAAATAAGAAACAGATTACAATGAAAGAAAATCACCAGAATGAGCGTAACAGTTGTTATCGGGTTCAGAACCTATTAGTGAATTACTTAAAATACCAACGAGGTTAATATCCACTATTTAACTTTGGTAACATTGGGATACATACTAGCAATTTTTTAAGCATCTACCACACACTATAGCTAGCACACCAAAAAAAAAAAAAAACATTTTTGGAAAATGCTCTACTATTTCAAAATCTCTCCCACAGCAAAAGGCATGTTGAAGCTCAAAGAACAGAAAGTTTCATCAAGCTTTGTTGCAAACAAATAAAACTATTAAAAGGCTCTTGTTTGGTTTTAAATGTCTGCTGAGGCTTCAACAGCCACTCCCCTTCCCTGTAAGAATTTGAACTTCTGAAGATCAGTTTGTTCAGGCTCCTGCTCTTTGGGACCAAAATAGTGTTGAAATGTCCCACCCAAGTGCTGGAAAACTGATGATCACTTTCTTTGTGTTTAACACAGGATAAGTGCTAATGACTTTTCTGTAGACCTTTTCTTCTGAGCCATCTGCTTACAAGAGGAAAGTGAGCTCTTTATCTTGTTCTGCAGAAAAGACTTGACAGTTCCAATTCAGACACCCCCCCCCCCGACACTTCAAATTGATTTCTGTGCATTAATGAAAAATTTGCTTGTTAGCTATACCTGCATTCCTTTGCCAAGGAAAGAAACCAGCCAAATTTCTAAGTGACAAGGAAAGAAAGAACCATAGTGGAAGCTGAGTCCATGGCAATATAGAGAGCTTCAATGGGCTGAGACCTTCAGACTTGTAAAACTCAGAGATCATCTTTCTACTCTAAAAGATTGTTCCTATACAAGAAAAACCGAATATTAACTCATCATATATTATTCACTATTAACATTAGAACCTGTTAAAAGCTTAATGTACATAGATTATGCTTACATATAGCTACCAGGTGATCATGGCATAAGCTCTTATAGAGGAATGCAAAAGCTGTAGTCCATAAAAGATTACCACCAACATTGCCTTTTTCTGGATAAGATAACTTAAGGGTGTATTTTGATATTGAAACTCATACTAGGGAAAGAGGCTAGAGAATCTAATCAACTGATACTAAACTTCAGGAGAAGCCCCACTATCTCACCCTTACACATTTTTCTGTTTTAGTGAAGGTATACCCATGTTGAATACAGTTAGTCTCAAACACCTTTCATTCTTAGGAACATCAATCATGCAATTATGCCACTAAAGAAACAAACTATCATCCTCCTTCAAAATCTTTTATTGACCCAAGAAGACTAGTGGTTAAATATTCTAAAAGAGCTTGAATGAAAGGTAGTAAGAGTAAGGGAAGAGCAATTTACAACAATTCTTTGACAGATAAATAGCAATCAAATTTCTCAAAGTATTGTTACAATAAAATTTTTGTCATGCACTGTCGTCCACACAGACAAGTAAAAAGTATTTCAGAGAGATTAGTCAAAAGTATTCCTGATATAAATTTTTTTCCCAGATGTGAACAATTTTAAGAGAAGTACATGAAAAAATGTTTGTGAGATTCAACAGCTACAGGCAGAGTTACTGGAACAAATAGTGGCATCATCCTTCCCAGAAATTAATAGCATTAAAAAACAAAAAAATCCACAAAATTTCTAACAAGATACCCACTCTTCTTGAATATTGTCTCTCCGCTTCTTCAGGAGGTACATTTGATCTGCGACATTCTCCAACTACTCTGTGTTTGAGAGCCTCAGTCATCATACTAATCGTTGGTTGACGCAGTTCAATTTCAGCAAGAAGTTTGTTCTGATAAATCGCTAAAGGAACAGTGACTATACTTCTTAAAGCAATTGTGGACCCAACAATCACTGCCCACCTTGGAAAAAACAAGATACTACAAATTACTGATAATGGCTATTGTGGGATACAAAAGTATGACTGTATCAATAGGTTTTACAAAGAACGTAAGAAGTTGGCCAATTTAAGAGTAGGTTGAAGGAAAGCCAACACAATCTAGGATGCCTTTTGACACTCACTCAGTTGTAATGTGGGGGAGTTACGGTTCTGTACGAAGTAGCTCATATAAACTGAATCAAATTGTATACTAATAATAGTAATAATAATAGTCGTAAAATGAGCAGACCAGAATATTTCAATTTATTTAGAGACAGAGCTGCCTAACATGAAGTGAATTTGCTCTAAAGCCTGAATAGGAAATACGGTCAACACATGAAAATATTTTCATCACGAACCATGGAAGATGAGTCCAAGAATGGACTGTCTCCAGGAATACTTGAAGTGCATACACGGGAGGAAGATCGGGAGAAAACAAGAAATAAGACGACGGTGCTTCACTGCTGCTATGCCTCTTGTCTTGAGGAGTGTAAAATAAAGGTGTAGTGGCAAAATTTGGATGAAAGAGTACTCTTGCGGGACTCAATGTCTGTCGAAGAAATTGTAAATATTTCATTGTAAAAACAGCTAAGTTTACCGAATGTAAATCTAAACAACAGAAGAACTTACTGGGTAGTTTAAACGTTTCGTCAATAGCCGTAAAGCACTCATATTGAATTGATCAGCTGCTTTTTAAGGTCTTCCTGGGGTATTTTACTTTGACTGCTACCACTAAATTTGCCGCCATGTTGTACAGCGCATGGTAATGCAGGCGCGCATTTTCGTCTCCAGGCTTATTCGTTTTACTCAAAATTATCTGGGTTATGGGGTGGTACGTGGTCTGAGTCCGGTGCATTCAGCTCAACTGGTGAGCAAAAATGCTCGGCTGAGTGCTTTAAAATTCTAGACTTGGTCAAAACTTCCAATTGCCTTGAATCAAAGGAAGCATTGTAGATCGGCCGCTTGGAACCAGAGATGAATGCACATATGTAACACAACTACATATAACTATATTTACTGAGATAAAAATGAATATTTTGACACATCGTTTTAAAAAAACTGATTTTTTTTTGCCTCCTCGTAGCTCTCTAAAGTTTAAAGAGTAATACATACTCCAAGCCAAAGATCAAACAAAACGAATCAAGCATCTTGAAACAGTTTTGCCCATTAGAGTCCCAGCTTTTAAAATATGTATGTTTATCCCTAATCACCTCTTTCATTTACTCGGTGACCGAGCTTAATCTTGTTTATTTTTTTATTTTTTTGTTATAACGTGATCAAATTTTCATTTGAAAGCAGACTTGGTTAAGACTGATACGGTTTAGGTATTAGAACGTGCTTTCAACCCAACCGAGTTTAAGACTGGCTCCAAGAGTTCTCAGACTCCACCCTCTAAGCCTTATGGGAGTCAATAACTCCTCCGTGGAGCTGTTACTCAAAGGCATTTCCCTCCCTGGTTGGTTGTTGTCAGGAGACTCGTTTTGAGTCTCAGATCGCGAACTTTCTAGCTCAATTTCATTGTGATGAAGAAGGTTTTCCGTAATTTCCTCAGCGTTCCTTTCAACAATTCTTCCTTGATTTGAATATGCGCCTAGGATTGGTACTTCTGGATTGTAGCTGGAGTTTTGGACGCTTGCTTCATCAAAGAGAGTTTGGATCAAATTGTTTCGGCCTTTGTTTCGAAATGAGCTGTTACTGTTGCTGATATCACGAACAGCACCCCCTCCTTACTCGGTCCAGCCTCCTCGCAAAAGCCTCTGTTATCTTCTCGACCGCAATATCCTGGATCAGACGAACTTTTAGAAAGTTTAGTTTTGAGGGCAAAGATTTCAAACTTAGCTGCGCCATCTGTAGGAAACTGAGCGAAATCTACAGAAAATCTACAAGCCTCGCCTTGGGACTGGGGCAAGACAAGCCGGCATATCCATCATATGATCCCTTGCTTCCGGTTGTAGTGCTGCATCCCCGTATACACAACTCATTCCTAATGCATGGGCAGAAAAAACACAGCAAAAACTGAAAATTCCTTTCTGAACTGCGGGTTACGGAAGCTGTAAATTTAGAGATTGAGTGCACTGCTCGTAAAAGCGCACCAGTAGGCGGCCTTTCCCTGCACTAGGACTCCGCGATTAGATGACAAGGCGGAATTTTTTATGCTGACTAGCGCAGCATACAAGAAATACGGTAGCCAACAAAACAGGAAAACCACTAGTAAGATAAGTACGGTAACTGCTACTTGCTTGTGAGCCGAGGTGGAAACGGTGCTAGAGGTGCTTGAAAACGATACACGACTGACGCGCCGTGTGTGGCGTCTAGCCGAACGGAAAATATTACTGTAAGTAAAACCCATGATGCCAAGCGGTATTACAAAGCCCAACAAAATGACAAAGATGGCGAACACTTGCTCGGGAGGACTGGTAGGGAACTGGACTCCACACTGAGTTGTACCTGTCAAAAAAGAACTGCTTATTAGGGATCTTGAGTTGGTATTTATATAACTGGGCCATGATAATTTTCCTGATGGGCTACATGCCATGATTTCCTACGCAGTTAAATATTTGGTCCTTTTCCCTTTCAACCGCCATGGATTTGACAGGGATGTATTCTATGACCCTCTACACCAAAGGAAAAAGGTGAGAATTGAACGAACATTATAAAAAGAAAATACCGCATCTATCAATTTTTAAAAGCCACGTGAATAAACGGGGCGAGTTTCTAAAGTAACTGTGGTGTTGCGTCGGTGGGGGAGTATAACAAGGTAATTTTGGTTTTATCAGCTGAATCGATAATATAAATTAGCCCCCGTAAAGAGTATCAAAGCTGACCTTTCAGCGTTAGCCCTTCTTTAGAGCGAATGACGAAGGACTAACGCTCCAAACGTCAGTTTTGAAACTCTTTACGATAAAGGATAAAACCAAAATTACCTGATTTTTAAAAGCGTTCGCCGGTTAGTACTTTGGTAACAGTACAGAGTTCGATTCATTTAAGGGTTGCAAAACTAGAAAGGAAGTTATCAAAGTTGTCACAGCAAAACAATTCCCAATTGCATTTCACTTTAATTTTTTTTTTTTTACCAATGCAGATACCTGATTTAAATTCATATTCCATAATGCCAAAGAGAGGAACACAAGCGATAACAACTGGCTGAACCCAAGTCCATAACAAGAGACCAATGGAAGACTTCTGGCTCATGTGCCTGTGGTACAGCGGCTTACAGATGGTACTATACGTTTCTACACTTATCGCTGTAAGGGTCAAAAGCGAACTCATACAGAACACTTTGTTAAAGAAACCGTTTAACTTGCACAGAACGTAACTCAACACCCATTCATGATTCAAGCACGTGTACAACGAGAAAGGCATACAGATTATTGCAACACCGATATCAGCGCGTGACAGGTTAATGATGAAAATATTTGTGCGCGTGCGCAGTTTAGGACGCCTGGAGACTGCCAGACAAACCGTTCCGTTTCCAATCAGAGTCGCTAGCATGATTAGCACCAGGCTCCCACTCATCAGGAGGTGTTCAAGTTCATCATTGTCCGTGACCGTCGAAGGTTTGGTTGTCCCATTTATGTCTTGCACCCTTACTGAGGAAATTGTATCGTTGCCTATCGCCATGTTGCAACTTGTTCTCTTGGAGCTAAAAATTGAAGAGTAAAAGAAGAGAGATAAAAATTATAAGACAGATTTCAGTAATAGAAGAGGTTGTGATACAGTCTCGCTTAATGAAATTTTAGTCTAATCTTTGCTAGTTTCTCATTTGCAATCCATATCAATCGTCTTATTCCCGAATAAATATTGTTCCTATTCAGTGCATTATCTATTCCTTCTGTTTCTTGACCCGAAGCAGGTTTTATTTGACTAACCCTTTACACCCTTTTATCAGTTTGCATATTCTCCATCCTGTTCTCCATAGAAAAAAGTTGTTTATTAGGTTGATCTGAATGGTAAAATATTTGCCTTAAATACAAACAACGTTCAAGACCTCGCTCCCCCTCCATTTAGCAGTAACTGCAGAGTCTAGATAATTTTTACATTGTTTACGTATCTAAAAATGGACTAAAAAAATGTATGTGGACTTACAAAAGTCGAGTAAGAGATGATCGTCCATTATTGACCACTGGCTCCTTTATAGTCATAGCGATGTGTCAAATATGTAACGGACCATAAGCGGTTTTCTCTTATTCTCGATGCAGAATGGGTAAGACTCCTGTGTAGAAAGGTAAGTCTTCAACTATCAGTCATCGCTCGCACTGTTCTATGACTGTTTTGTAACACAGGATCACCTCGCGCTTTAAATATTCAGTGAAAGCCTTTCACAGAGTAATAGTCGAGAGCTGATATGTCGACTGAAAAGAATTGCTTAACCTGTCTTATTTCAGTCCGAAAGGTTTGAGCGATCAGAACTGTTTGATGGCGTTGAGCAAGAGAGTTAAGTGTTTCGAACAATAGGTTACAATAACATCAACATGTACAAGCATTGGCAGAACTAAAACTGACACACTGAAGATTGGAGTGGCTAATGTTATTTGTTATATGAGTTCAGTATTTCTATGAGCATTTTGGAATGCATGTCACGGACGCATTAGAAAGGGTGCCTTTAAGGACTTTCCAGAGAGAAAAACCTTCTAGTTGTAACTCTGTAACTCCCGAGGGTGACTAACTTCTTATTCATCAATGAGTCAAATCATGAGAATAAAGGAAATGATCACCAATTTAAGAAGCTCTTGATAAAATAGTTAAACAAATTCTCCTTGCCGATACCATGGACAATGTAAAGTGAACATCGTAGAGGATATATATACTACTGTTATGGTGTAACGCTTAT